AAGTGGAAAAAAACAGATGTGTGACATTTGAGAGATGCTTCTGCTGAAATGTTCAGTCAAAAGCAAACTCAGAATGCATAAATGCATACATCTTTGGATTACTACCACCATCACAGGCACAATTGGAAAGGAATACCTATACTAGCCAAGGTGCAAACAAGAAAAGAAAATACAATCTATCTGTGGGTCTTTGTATCTAGAATGCTAATTATCACAAGACGCAGAATATAATTCTTGCCAAATTGGCTTTGCACATACACATCAAAAATCATGATTAATCTGTTTCATAACTATAATTTGTTTGGTATGCGTCCAGATTAAGTAAACCCACATTCATGAATACCAATACCTGCAGAGGACTTCTGATGATCAAGTGAGTCATTATTAGCAAAACATAGGATGCAACTCTTTTTATAAAGAAATATTTAATTTAAGAGCTTTGTGTGAAAGTAAATAAGCTATTAAAAAATAAAAGTACCCAAAACATATTTTAGGTCAAACCTTTTTAATTAAATTTTTTTTGTCTTAAATAAAATACTTAAAGTTGTACTAATTGCCCAGTGGCTCAATGCATTCATTGGACATTAATGGGGTCCCATTTTGGCTTTCTCTGCAAAAAATTGAAATCTAATTAAGTCTTTAAGTTTTTTTATTTAACTAAGGAGATAAGTGAGACACTTTGCTAATGGAAAATAACTATTTACATTTAAAATAAGAAGAAGCAATTGCATTGTCTTATTAAAAGTGCATAGTATGTAATTATCTTATTTTAAGAGAAAAAAATAGCAAATCATCTTATTTACCTACTCAAATGAAGGGTAAATACACTTGATTTAAGAAATTTGGTCTTATTTCTAGATCCTTTTTTGCAGTGTTGCTGTATGATGCTTTAGCAACTATATGGTGAATCGATACTACAGTCCTCTCTGTTGAACATTTTATACATGCCAATATTTTGCATATTAATAGCTGTCTACATGTGTCACCATATACTTCCAAATCGGAACCTGTTTTTTATTCCCTGTTTGACTTGTTCAAATCAGTGAATGAAGTTTGTAAACACAGAGGTCTCACACTAAAACCCGGAGATGAGTAATGTCTGAGAAATTAATGAAATGTTATTTTGCACAGATTTATTGAATTACTGAATTCATTACTTGTTAAGAGATTAATGAGCTCAGGGTAAAAAGATTCAAGTCAGTTTTTAAGAGAGCTGAAGAGACAGGGAAACATATTTTCAAAGGGATTTTGATATAGATTTCGAGTGGGAATTCTTGTTCCTTACCTTTCATAGACATAGACTGTCTTACCCAAAATATGTGCTCATCTGCACTGACTAGTGCATGAATGTCAAAGATCCATTCTAAATCCATAGGTTTTAATAGGATGTTGATCCAAACTTTGCTTTACAGCTTTAACTCTTTTGGAAAGGATACCTACAAAAAAAAATAATACAAAATTAGATTCTATATATACAAAAAAAAAAAAACTCTTCCTGTTCCTTTTTTTCCTCCTAGCTCGGGTCCCCTACCAGAGGCCTGGGAGCTTGAGGATTTTGCACAGCATCTTTGCTGCGCCTTTCTGGATCGAGATGTCTGATGTATTTCCAGGGATCTGCTGTAATCACTCCTCCAGTTTGGGGGTCACTGCCCCGAGGGCCCCAATGACCACGGCACCAGTGATACCTTGACCTTCCAGGTTTTCTCCAGCTCTTCTCTGAGCCCTTGGTATTGCCCCAGTTTGTCATGTTCACTCCGACTTTCAGTGTCGTTGTGTCCTTGGGCAAGACACTTCACCTGCATTGTCTACTGATGGTGGTCAGAGGCCCCGGTGGCGCCAGTGTACGGCAGCCCCGCTTCTGTCAGTGAGCCCCAGGGCAGCTGGGGCTACAATGTAGTTTGGCACCATCAGTGAATGGGTGAATGATTGTAGTGTAAAGCGCTTTGGTCAAGTCTCCTAACTTGAATAAAGGTGCTATATAAGTACATGCCATTTACCATTTACTATATATATAGATAGATACTGTTGGCAGTTGAACTGGTAATAAGTCCATGAAATGGACCTTTATATGCAATGCACTACATACTACCTTTATTAGAACAGACATGTTTCTTTTAAGGGTGTTTCAGGTTTCTTCAAATTTTTTTTTAAATTTATCTGCAGATTCTTGTTTCTTGAAAGGTTTAAGGGTTTTTTGACCATACTTTAAAAAAGTGTGAAAGGCTCTCAGTCTCTGCTCTACTTCATCCCAGTGGTGAGTTCTGGAATATGTACAGGTCAGAATACTAGCAAACAGTTATATTGAAAAGGGAGGGACAATTTCCAAACTGCTCCCATACATTTAGGAGCATTAAACGCACTAAAGCCTTGCCTAGGTACTTGGTTTTACACACGGGTCCATTGAAGTAATTGGAAAAACTGATTACAAGTTGTTAAATGGATGAGCAAACACTTTTGGTTATAGATTTTTTTATAGGTTGTTATATTGCTGGAAGATAATCCTCTTCCACAGTCTGTACGTAGAGGTGAAAGCTCACGTCTAGATAGTTTACCCTTATTGTGATTCCACTTTGTGAATAAGAATTGAACAGAGGGATACTAAAAGCTCCTGATATTGTTTTATAAACCATTTGTTCTCTGATGTCGTCAGGCTGTTTGACCTTATATTTGAGGTTTTTACCTTTAAAATGAAATTTATTGCCTTTTCAAAAGAGCCGTAGTTAGATATAACTGCATACAGGTGGGCCCTATTGACTTTCAAGGTTATCTCTGAGTGCAGTTTGGTGCATTTAACTTTTTAGAAGTAGGAGATTAAAGAGGTGGAATACAAACTACTGGATTTTTATTTAAAAAGAAACCTGAAAACAACATATTATATTTTAACATCTCAATAATAAATAAGAAACTGTTGTATAAAACAAAAAGTCATAGATGTTGGCAATTTTTAGAAAAAAATTTAAATATTAAAATGATAGGTTCCACGAAATTTCTAAAATTATGCATTATCTAGAATTTATTTTATTACACTTTTATAAATAACTTTTTAGTTATTATCAAAATAAACATTTAAAATAGTTTATTTTAATAGTATTTTAAGCATTCAGAATTTTAATACTTGGACACATAGACTAAATCAGGGGTCTTCAAGTTTTTCCAGGCCAAGGACCCCCAAACAGATGTTGAGATGGAGCGGGGACCCCTAATTATATATAGTATGAAATTATTTTATATCAAACTGGTCCCATAGTCACTCTATTACAGATGGAGTAATTTATCAAAACTAATTTCTCCCTGGGATTATTAAAGTATTTCTGATTCCTGGTTGATGGGACAGGTGTTGTGAATGAAACGGTGCCCAGCTTGAAAGAGCTCCTGTGTGTCGCTGAATTTGTGCATTGATGACTGAAAGACATCTTCTGCCTCAATTTATCTGTTTACTACAGTGTTTTGAATTCATGTTAATGTGGATTTAATTTCAATTAGTGAAAAAAATTGCAGAGGGGAATAAAAAAAAAAAGTTATCAACCAAAACTTTTGCGACCCCCATGCAGTACCTCCGTGAACCGCATAGGGGTTGCGGACCCCCTGTTGAAGACCTCCGGACTAAATGGATGGCTTCAGGGGTGGAGCTAGAAGGGGGGCCAGGGGTGGCCATGGCCACCCTTTACCAATCATTGGCCACCCCTGTGGCCACCCCTACCATTTTTTTCGCCCTCTAATACAGACCATGGCAGCAGTAATACTATCAAGAGGAATGTTTAAACTTATTAAACATTTTAATTTTTCATATTAATAGTTATTTGACAACGAAAATGCTGTGCTTAATTATGCACATCAAAATACTAACATTAAAGTTGATATATTCAGAATTCTTGCTCTTTTAAGACCCTAATTTTGTGTTTTATGGGGTAAAGAGAAAATTATGGCTCTGCAAGTTTTCAGTTAAATCATAACTACTTTAATAATAACTTAAAAATCCATTTAATGTAGATATAAGTACATGTCATATTAATGTTATGCAAGACAATTTTTGATAAAAGTAGGCAAATAATGACAATGGAAAATATGTTTCCCCTAGACACTTTTTCCACTATACCTTTTATTTAGACAGAATGGACGTCTAAAGATATACATCTATTTGTAATCAAAAGGCCACCCCAATTCAAATTTTCTGGCTACGCCTCTGGATGGCTTCTTTTATTTATTTTTTCCTGTTTATTGTTATAAAGTAATCAATTGACATAAAATCATTTTTGAATATAGTTGAGGCAGTTGGACAACAGAAGTGAAGGAAGCTGATGAGCTGTTGGGTGAAAAAATGGAGAAGTAACCAATACTTCCAGATGTAGTGTGTTTGACATTTTTCCTAGTGCATGTGGAAGGGAAACAAAAAAAAAAAAAAAAAAATGCATTCATTGCGTTTTTATTTTCACTCTCCTCAACAAAAATAAAACCTCTCGTTGAAGCTGAGCTGAGCTCTTCCACCCACGGAATCGCTGCTCTCCAGGCACACATACCCACAGGAAACGCACACAGAGGGATCTGCACCTCCAGATCAACAAGGCAGAACCTTTTCTGCACGCTTCCTCTTCTGCTGCTACTTCTTCTTTTCACTCTCACCTGTTCCTTTCTGCCGATTCACACTGGTGTTCTTCTCGCTTCCTACCTCTCCGCCCGTGCCGCCTGTTCTGACTGAAAGAGGAATGCTGCTGCTTTTATATAGGCCTCTAAAAATAACTCACCCCCTACCTGCCGTCTACAGCGAGAATGACATCCCCATGCAGCCAATGAAGTGGCAGTATCTGCAAAAGCCCCGCCCACTATCTCTATCTCAGCACTTCCTTAATTGGACAAGAGTGACATCATCAACCCTATTTACCTTATAAGGTCACGCATGAAATTGAGTGACAGGTGGCTCCACCCCGCTCTGACTGCTGCTGGAGGAGCAAACCTGGCAACCTGGAGCCCGATCGGCAATCTGGCAATGCGGAAATAGATCTGGCACCCCCCAGACTGAGCAGAAAAGGCGTGACAGAGCGAGCTGAAGGAGTAGAGCAAGCGGGGATTGCGCTGACAAAGATCAAATAACACACTTTCTAATCACCTTGTGTTTCTCGATTTTTTTTTTTTTTAAATTAAAGTTGTCAGGTGCGCTCATCTGCACCGGTTTGGCGCTTTTCCTCCAGTTTTTTTTGTGGTTTATTTTCTCTACTCTTGAGAAAAAAAAACAAGAAGAGAAAGGAGAAGTGCGTTTTATATCGGCAGTAATACGGACTTCTTTACTTTGCCTCTTTTTTCCCTTTCCCTTCCTCATCAAGCATGGATGTTTTGGCGAATTACAGTATTTTCCAGGAACTCCAACTCGTCCATGACACTGGTTATTTCTCGGCGATGCCTTCCCTGGAGGAGAACTGGCAGCAGGTCAGAGATGATGCGCTTTTTTCCTTTTTTTTCAACCCTTCTCATTTAAAAACAATCAGAAACTGAAATAAAATGTCACAAGTGCGCATGTTTGATGTTTTCTGTGCGGCTTTTTAAGTGTTTTTTATGCGTAACGGGTAGTAGTTGCTGAGCTCTGTTTAGTTGCGTCTATTTTTTTCCGCTCTCTGCTCACATGGAGCACAGCGAGGTCCGCTGACAGGAGAAAAACACTCACACAGACAGGGAAAGGGGGAGGATACATCCATGCGCACCAAACGCAGCGCTGACTATGTTAAAGGTGGGGGAAAAAAAAGTATGTGTGAACAATCTTGGTTTTACGCATTCCAAAAAATAAAAATAAATAAAAATGCACGTGCTTAATCCTTCATCATAAAAAGATATGTATTTTTTTTGTATTAACCTTTATAATAATTTGTTTAAAAACAGGAGCCAGGGTTGCTGTGTGAAATTCAACTCGTAATCCACAGAGATTTTAAACGCAAACTCTTAAGCAAGTCGTTAAATCTATTTCACACAGAATCGCTGGCTCCTGTTTTTAAACTAATTATTATGAAGGTTAATAATACAAATCTTTGCAAGTCGTTAAATCTGAAAATGATCCTTTAATAGTTTATTATAATCTTTTATAATAGAATATTTGATTCCTTAAATCACTGCAAGTGCAGCTATGGTTTGTTTGGGGGTTTTATAAACCAGCAGTATATTTTCTGACATTGAATTAACAAAATATGTCACTCAGAATAAATTTTAACTTAAATTTATACATTTAATCTCAGACTTGCCGTTGGATTTGAACCTGGAATTTGACTGGGTCTTTCTAATACAAGGATATGATTTGATCTTAATGGTTTAGTTCCTTGTTCCTTCTGAAGTTAAACATTCCCTCAGCATGATGTCTCCACCTCCATACATCATTCATGAGATCCGACCACTTTCATTCGGTTATTATCTGAATCTGAATATCTGTTGCTTGTTTTGATAAGCTCCAAACTTTATTTGTTTTCTTTGTACCCCTGTAGAATCTAGAATACCTTTCTGTGTTTTTAATTTGTATTTTTTTCCAAGGATTGTTCTGTATTCAGCTGGATTGATTTTCCTACTATCTCTGTCCCATTTCCCTCCCCTCGGCCAAAGAAAGCACCCCACAGCATGATGCTGCCACTGTTTTTATCTGGGGATGGCATGCTAAGATGTGCTCTTTAGGTATTGCCCTGTAGTTCAAGCTGTCTCCCCATCAACTCTGATCAGCATCCTCTCAGCATTATTCTACCCTAAGCAGCACTGATTTTTAGTAACCAATGTCCTTTAATCTGGAAAAAAAGAGCCAGAAGCTTTGATTGGACAGATTTAGTTGCTCGACTACAGAAATGTTTTTTTTTTTTTTTTTTTTTTTTTGCATCGTATATAAACATTTAATAAGAACTTTTTTTTGCAGCTTTTGGAAGTAAAATTACAATTTTGTCCCAAAGTAGGAGTAGAATGGTGAAAGTAAAGTGATTCTTTTATTTTAGATCCATGCTGATGATAGAATTGATATAAGCGTTTGGCTCCTAGAGGCTGATGCTGCTCTTTGTGTGACTGATGTGATCAATAGAAGAGTCTGTCAGCCTGGTATGTTTGGGAATATCCACTGAGACACCAAACACACAAGCTATAGGAGATGGACACGTGCCTAATAGGAATTGACTTCTTCTTAAATAATACATCCACACCTGCCACTGTTTGTTTGCAGATAATGCTGTTGAATAATGTATGTGAGCCACCACAACATTTAGCTGACAATGCAGGTTATCTTACAGACTGCTTTATAACCTGTTATTTAACTACTAAAATCCCTCTGAATCACATTCAGTTCACACTGTTTACTTGTGTGATTGTGTACTGATTTTATTTCAGTGTCATGCAGTGGATAGTCAATTGTTTTAGTTTAGATTCTGATTATTTGAAGCCTTATGAGCCCAAACTCTCTCCTGGATCCATGCTTAGCATCGTATCCCCTTAGGTGATCCTGGGCTCTCATGGTGTGTGTGTGCTTCTCCCTGGGCATCAAAGCAACAGCCATTTTAGCAATTTCACTATTATGTTGAGGACTGGTTTTTGTAAAGTGAGGTCATTTTGCTGGTCCTCACCAGCATTTAAGGCTAAATTTATACTAAGAAACCAGGTCCTCTGTGTGTGTGTCGCAGTTAACGCAGATATGCCCCCTCCTTTCCGCAGACACTCTGCTGCACCTTTCCCAAATTGCAGGTGACCGCAGACAGTGCCGCAGACAGGAAGCCTCTGTTGGTCAAATCCATATCCGCTCTACTCTATGACTATTTTCTGTTTGGTACCTTACCTGCTTGTTTTGTTTGTATGACCGCTATTGTGGAAAACGACTCGTGAGGTTGGACCAGCTAGAAAAGCGAGGGGCGCGAGAACTCTGGGACTCTTTTTCGCCCTCATGTCCCTCCGTTGTCGCACAAATTTGCCACAGCTAGTTCCTGATTGTCCCTCTTGTGTTGTGGAGTGGAATAACATAACGCAGGCCACGCTTCAATATTGGGCATAAATCAAAAATATCCGCATCATACCTGCGACAAGCTCACTGCGACACACTGCTTTGCGAGTATAACCTGCCCTTTAGGTAAAGGACTAAAGTGCAAATTGGTTTAGGGTGAGACTGAGCTATTCTGGCAATGGTTAGGTGTAGGATTATTGTCACGGTTAGGGCATAGAAAGGGTTGAAAATGACTGATAATTAATGGGAATTAATCTGAGTCAACACATGGTCCTTACTTCATCTAGCAAAATGAGAGAGTGTGTGTGTGTTTGTGTGTATGTGAAAAGAAAACTTGCCAATTGCCTTTTTGAATGAAGCTCAACCTTCGACTCTCCACTGTGGCGGTTTCACAGAAAACAATAAGCGCCGGCTCATCCTGGATTTAGTGCAAACGGCTTCCTTTCCCTTCTGTTCTTTTCCTTTCCCTCTTCCCCATTTATACTGACTGCGGTTAAAAAAGTTTCACATAAAAAGTAACTGCTTTAGCTTCAGTTTTAGTCTGATTTTGCAGATTGAGTACATAAAAAACCAAAGTATGTTACAAAACTACATATTAAATTGTAGATTAATAATTGGGCTATTACATGATGGATTAACACAAATGACACTAATTAATCTTAAAAAAAATTGCCATAGCAGGACTAGTGGCATGTTGAAAAGAGCCATATGGTGGCCATGTTTTTAATCCTGCAAGAAAAATATAATCACACTAAATATTGTTTAGCCAACAGGTGGATTAAAACAAAACATTAAAACCAAGCAAACTTGCATAGTTAGCTGAGTCTGGCTTAGTACCTTTATTGAAAGTTAGCCGAACTCAGAAAAGCTTAAAGTTAAACTTTTTTGGTTATGTATTAAGTATATTTGCACTTCAGTTTATTGTTCTTTTTTAGGGCAAGATTATTTATACTTGCAGATTTAGGTGTGAATAAATCTTCTAACAGTAGCCAGACTCCCCAGTCTAGAGAACATAAGATAAGGGTGATGGCAAAGAGTCTCCCGCCCCGCAACATTGGCAAATTGCATTCATACAAAGGCTCTGGGGGTATGTTTTCTGCAATGATCATAAATTCATATATATATATAATTTAGTAATCGATTTATCATTCTCTAAACATGCCTTTAACCCACTTTAAGCAGTAACCCTACCAAAATACAAAAAAATATATATCTAAATATTCTATATTTAAGATTACAACAGAAAAACTTTTTGTCTGTCAATGTACTCTAACCAGAATTCCTCAAGTGGAAAAGTTTCAATTTCACATGGCTTAAATTCTGCAAAAATCTTCTTTAAGAAACCTTTTGCTATCTGATTAATAATCGATTAATCAAAAAAATAATTGGCAGATTAATTGATTAGCAAAATAATCCTTAGTTGCAGCCCTAATATGCATATATATAGTTGCTTGTTATTTCATTAGCTTATCTCAGAGGTCATTTTTTCTAAGGCTAACAACATTCTTGAAAGCCCTTTGTGCTGCATAGAGATATATATCTAACAACGTTTAGAGTGAAATTACCTAATCACTCACTTTATTCATGTAGACATAAATATTATCAATAAATGCAAGTTGTATAAGTTAAGAAGACTTTGATTACCATTTTCATCAAGAGTGACCATCTGTGCTGGAAGTTCAGTTTGTGTAGTGGGAAATATTGTCTGTCATTGTTGTGGTAAGTACAAAAATTAATAAAAAGGTTGCATTCTCTCATAAATCTGTGTTAACAGCGACAGAATTTCAAAAAGGAGAAAGGCACACAGACAGAAACCTGGCACACCAGCATTTTTTCCACTCTTGTTCTCTCCGTCTCTCGCTATTCCCTCATTTACTCCATCGCTAATACGCATACAAAAAAAAAGAAACACAAGCACACACACCCATGCACACATGCGCACATGCTTGGTTGGCATGCACTAATGGAAAGCTAAGGTCTGGCAAGACTCATCCCGCCACTTTCGACAGTAATTGGCCGTTTGCTGTCAGACGGACAGAATCACACACACACACACCCTCACACACACACACCCACACAGGCTGTCAGAAAACCATCATGCAAGCTCAGGCAACCTGATTTGTGGCTATCATTTATCTTTCCAGGCTTTGTGTCCTCATGCAACCTTCTTTTATCGGCTGCTTTGCATCACGGTAACACCAGTAGGAAAAACAACACTCTTTGTTTTACCTGCCTGTCATTTGTATGCTTGTGTTCTGCGTATAATTGCAGCATCTCTCTACATTAGGGCTGAAGTGATGGGCTTTGGGGATTTGTGTGTCTGTGTGGAGTGGTCAGGGATCAAACTCGGACTTCCTAATTATATGTAATCCTTTTATTCCAAAGCAGACCTGCTCAAAGATCTGGTGAAAAATGGAGGGACAAAGAGAAAGTGAAAACAGAGGGATAGTGAAAGTGAAATTGAAGCAGGGGTTATCGT